TTTTCTTCTTTATCTTGATTTGCTTTAATTCCTTCTGCTATTTAATTTTGGTGGCACTTGAATTCCTTTATTATGTGAAATCCTATTAAATTGAACATTTCTGGAGCGTGTACACATCTCGACAACAATGCCTAATCAATCAGGATGTGTGGGTGTGGGTATCCAGAACAGATGAAACCCACACACATATTTACACCCTATTTCATCTTCTATAATGCTATAAAATGTTGTCATCTCTTCATACTTATCGTCAAAAAAGTTTAATTATTTTTACAATCCATGATCTGAAGTTATGAGTTATCAATCGGACTGAAGAGGACAGTAGTATTTTCTCATCTACATAATTCGACGAATCTTCTCTATTTGCCACCCAAGAATTTGACGAACATTGATTCTCATCGCTTCACTTGTGGTGATGATTCATCACTAATTTCAAAATACCGGCTTTATGACATTTACATGGATCATGCTAACGGTCATGATGAAATATCACACCTTACGACCTATCTTCATGAAACTCCACTCCTTCTACGAAAGATAACATAGTATGAATCACAGTAAATTCATATAAACTTTCATAAAAGTAACATCAACAATTTCTTAGACCTATTAAAGAATCAGTGTTGTTCAATGAAGAGAGGTCGTGAAGAGCTTGATGATATTTTATTTTTCTCAGAAATATTTTCTCTATCAGATGAACTTGCTTGCAAAACGCTGTTTTTAAATAGAATTCAGAAAATTTGTTTCGCATTCTTGATTTTTACAGAGATCTTTCCTCTAAATCTGTCAATAGGACTTTGTTAAGTACCTCTTTTGCTAAGAAATGGTTTCAGCTAGTTAAATCTTTTTACATATAGTCTTTCTTGACAAATCCATGATTAATCAAACAATTAATTAAGACAACCCAATGAAAGCCACCAACTTATTCAAAACTCATTAGCACATAGGTCACATTGATCATATTCTAACCAGCTTGCTTGGAATTTTTCACTGTAAATTAATTTTGATACACATTGAATAATGATGAAATAGTTTCAATTTGACTCTAATAGAAATTCCTCAGAATAAATTATTATTCAATATTTCAAGATAATATAACATGCCGAATAATCAATGATTAGAATGAATAGTCTCTTTCAATTTGTTTGTCAGCCATATCGAATTTGTAAATATTTTTTTTTATCAAATTCGATCTGGATTACATTTCAAATATTTCTATAACGCAAGATTTAATCGAATAAAATTCAATATTGCATTGATCTGGAATAGAAAAATAGTTTTAAAAATGGTTCCTCATTTTCTTATTGTCATAATGCGAGCTTAAAAGACTTTATTGAGATATAAAAAAACAGAAGAAAACAAAGATAATGTTTAAATTAAGAATATTTACTAATAAAAAAATTTGAAAATATTTTATCTTATTTAATTTTCAATTAATTCATTAAAATTAACAAAAAAAGAAGATTTCAAGCCTCTGACAATTAGTCTTCAATTAAAATTTGCTTGAATATTCGAATAGAGTATGTTCAAATCGAATAAAAATTGTCCGTTTAAATTTGTTTCTATAAAACATACTACATTCTATATCTAATTATTTTGCTAAAACTAATTTACCAGATTCAGTCGAGACACTTTCAGGAATGCCATCATGATCGATTTTTAACACAGTTCGAGATGATTTTCGTTGTTGAGTCAATAGATAAGATACTGAATAAATAATGGCATTGACTATATTAAATACAACATAAAGTAGAAAGAGACGCCGTTTTTTCATTCATGTATAAATGAAGAAGGCGACAAGCATACCAATGCCACGAACTATATTATAATGAGAAAAAAAAACGAAATGATTAACATTGAAGAAGCCAATACAATACGATACCTAAACCAAAACAAATACCGTAAACTATGCCTTGAAGTGTTCGAGAGAGATTCAATGGAGCTAGAAGTAAACATTGAATTAGTCGAAGAAATGAATATTCGAGAACATACTCATTGCAAGAGCTTCTTCAGCAAGGAGAACATAGAGAATACCAAAATTAAAAAAAGTGCATTGTTTCCATTAATAAAAGAAAATACGATCGACGAATAAAATAATAACCAAAGAAGCGAATTCCAAATGCAATAAAGATAAGCATTGACGATTTTTTTCTACGTAAACGTTTAAGTAATTTGTGAACAAGAAATAATGCCAAAAGTTCAGAAGTTGATGCTATCAATGATATATATCCGGCTATAGAACGAGATTCACATGAAGCAATTTCATCCATATATAACATCAAATACTAAAATATATTTGAACAGATAGCTGTTAAGTAAAAGTACACTAATAGTGATTAGAAGTAGAATAAAGAATGAAACCAACGAGGGAACGCCTCCGAATATCAGATCACTTTTTGCTCGAGATTATTTTCCGACTACCGACCACAGTGAATAGTATCAAAGTCTAAGAGTGTACCTTTCTCAGAGCCTTTATTCAAGACAACGAATATTTCGTCAATCTTGATATTCTATACTTAGACATTCTAATGACGTCTTTCTGTTCGAAGATTTACTCATCAAAGAGTAAAAGAAGGACTTTTCAACTAAGAAATCTCGATAATTGCAATGATTATGATTCGTTTTAATTTTTGAGTTAATTTAAAAAAAAACACTTGAGTAAACTCTTAATCTATTTTACGTGTTTGATCATGTTGAGGAAAATAAAATATCGAATACTTACTGGATCAAGAGCACCCAAAGATGTTCTCCCAAAAAATGCCGTCATAAGGAACACAATCACATCAATACTCTTGAACAATGGAAAAAGTGCAAAAATCTTCGACAAATCTTTTTTTGTCTTCATTTTGATTTTTTATCGACGGAAAATTCATTTAATTTTTCTCTAACATATGTGTCATCATTAGTTCGTTCACCTTGTTCACATTTATCAGATCAAATGTGAATAAAACTTGTACCGATTATACTAAGAAAACTACAAACAATGAATCTGATTAAGTATACCAATTCAGTATTAAAATGTAGATAAAGACGACTAACAAAAAACGCAGATATACCAGATCCGATAGTACCCCAAACACGTTGTCGACCAAATAGATTTGAACGATGTAACGTAGAAAAAGCAATTGTAGATATAGAATTTGGTCAGAATAACGTGATCCATAACAAAGATGATCTATTGAACATTTTATATCACACGTAGTCAATATGGAATGTTTGCTCGATGAGCATAAACCACTATTGTCAAATAGATCTGATAAGAAATTTAAAAAAAGGCGTATGTTTTACAAAAGACAATAATGTTATGATGTTTTAAAGCAGTATACATAGAGTTTTTCTTCCACTCATTGTAATAAATACATTGGCTTGTTCTTCTTTTTTTATCAAAATCAAACCGCTCTACAAGTGGCTCTAGTAGAAAAGTAGTGAATCTCTCGTACAACAATAGCCAATAATGAATTGTTGAAGAAACCAGGTCAGTGATGCACTGAGTGTCGACGATCAGAAGATTACATTAAAACGTATATCCATCTTGATACTCACACATTCACACTCAGAACTTTGACGAGAATTCATTTAATTTAGCAAAAAATTAAATATGCTTTCACCCAAGGACAAACTAACTATCAGAAAGTTTTTGTTTTTGAATTTACAATCATTTATACAACAATGTTTTTTGTTCGTTCTAGTCAATATTACTCAACACAGTCATCTGTCTGTTAATGATTTCGAAACATTATATCTGAGTTTGATTTGATGAAAGTAACTAGAAATATCTGTAGTTATAAAGATGGATCCGTAATTAGTAAGAAAATAATCTGTACAAATATATTTTAAGTTTTCTCACGGAAAAAACAATAGGTCACTATTGTTAAAATTTGTATATGTAAACAGTATCAAAATAAAATCGAATATTACTATAAAAGTGTAAACATTTTTCGTATTTTCTTCTTGTAAAGTAAAACTCGTTTGCGAATCAGACGTTTTTCGTTCATGAACGACACTTCACAATCTACCAACTTCTCTTTTGTATTTCACATTGAAATCATCATTTTTTTTTATGTTAAAATTAGACAAAGACGCTGTTAATATTTGATAACAGACTGTATGTTGATAATATCTCGTTACAATATACAAACAACTTCCTTATTACATCTCTGGAGGATTAAAGAACAAAACGATGAAGAAATATATCCCAATATATATCGAATAAAACAATCTTCCTGTGATCAGCAACAGCAGCTACATTTTAATCTCAAAAGAATTGTGCTAATAGAGCTGGTTTTCTACATGAAAAAATTCACTAAAAACCTTTTTCATTTTCAATTCTAACACGGAAGTTATCTTTTACAACTCCAATTGATTAATTTGCCTATTTAATAATTTGTAAAAAAGAAAATATCTAATAATTGTTTACACTATAGTATAGAAATTTGTAAAACATTTGAAGTCCTCTCAAATTTGATAGTTTTCATGTCGTTGGCATTTAAAAAAAATATTTTGAATTTTAAAAAGAGTCTTTCGTGATTAGATGGAAAAATTATAGAATTTGAGTCTAAAGACTATTGAAGATATTAAAAATACCAGCAAACACTCACATCGAAGAGAAACAAAAAGCAAAATAAAATCTTTAAATTGGAATATTCTGCTAGTTGATGAACAGACTTAAATCTATGTAAAATACTGTTCATTACCTCTAGTTTCATTGTTTGTATATTTATTGATTGATACATGATAATTGATGGCACATGTCCGAAGTTTATTACTATGTATAGATATATTTTTATGTTGTTTGTCTACATACATTGAATTCATAGTAAAATTGAAATGAAATGTTTTGACTGGTATATTCTTTTTGAAATAATTTTTTTTCCATTGTTAGCGATGTACAATAGGCTTGATAAGTACATCCACATCGAGTTCTTGATGCGCATTTAGTAGAAAATTCTTTATTTGCACAAAAAGTCAATGAATATTTCATAGTATCAATTTGATCAATTTCATCTTGGATTAAATGTGATTTCAAAATTGGTAAAAAAAAACATAGTACCAAAAATAATAGTTACCAAACACAAAATAACATTGAACGTAAGACGATAATGACGTACATGATCTGTGAAAAATGCTAATAATGGATTAGTAAAGAAGATCAAAAATGGAATAATTAAATTAATACATGATATTTCTATATCTGACAGACCACGACTTCGAAGAGTTATATTCAACATTGGACCAATTGCAGCAAAACTTGAGTAGGTTAGAAAATAATAAGCTTTAAGAAAAAGATAATAACCATATACATATGATAAGTATTTAGTTTGATCCATGATAATACCATCAAATTTTAATTTCAACATATTTTATGATGTTGTAGAAAATGTCAAAGTCGGAGAAAAATGATTTTATAAAATTATCTAAAAACCAATAACAACGACAAAAACAGATTTTACATTTAGAATTTGTGTATTATTGCAACTAAATTTCAACAAGCGAATCACAAAGCATAAATTCCAATAAATAGAAGAAGTTTTGACATCATTATTACCTTTATTCTACGAATTATGATAAAAAAAATATTCGTATGAACCTTAACAAACTCATATATATAAAACTCACATCTTGTTCAGCTATATTAAACTGATAGAAAGTACGTAACGGAAGCAATCTGCAATATATGATGATTACTCTCCAGTATTAGTTAACCGTCAGTAAAACGTTCGATCTTATTGATTTCTACAGTGAAGATGCGAATTTTTTTTTATTAGTTTTTATTTGTAAGTGTTTGTCTATTCTTTGTTGCTTTGATTTCCTTTTGTCCACCATTTTGATCAAACTTCAAAGATTGCTACAGGCTTATGATGAAAGTTAGAATGAAATGAGTTCATAGTTTTATATATCAGTTGCATCTATTATAGAATTATTTATAAGCACATCCGCGTTAGACCCGAATCAGTTGTCAGTTCTACGAACCGAAAGAATTGAATCAGAACTACTGATGAACACGTCTTTTTTTCAAGAACTAATTTAATTGACCAGTTTTTGTCATATGAATTTACCTATTGATTACCTGATTTTCTCATAATTATAAGTTTCTAACAGTTACATTTATTCACGTTTATGGTATTCAACTATGTCGCCCGAAAAGAAAAATAAATAAGATGTTTATCGACATCAGCTCATTTCACAAGAACTGGTCGGTTCATACTATTTTCATTACTGGAACGAGACTTGTCATATGACTTTGTAAATGTAAAATAAATTCACTTTTTAGCATATGCGAAAACGTTTTATGTCCAATAAAAGTTTAAAATATACTTTGAAGAGAGTTCAAAAAGTTCTAAAATGTTTTCAGATTGAGTTACATTATCAACTGACATCTCTTTTTTTTATTACTATGAGATCTAAGGAATTGTGTGCTCATTGATCTCAATTTCTAGAAAACTGCTTATAGATTTTAGATTTTATCTGTAACTTTTCACATCGATTATTGGAGTCAGGAGGAGATCTGAAAATCCTTAATTTAAACGTACACTCCTTGTTGTTCTTTGGATGCACATGGACTGCGTTAAATGTTATATCATGTCAAGATTGATACACAAAAAAAAAACGCACTTAATGCTGTTCTTGAAATCAATAATTATCATTGGAACACCAAATTTTTTATGGCTATTTTAATTACCTTTAAGTAGAATTTTGATTCAGTGCTCTCTTGACAAAGAAGTTCCAAATAGTTGCAGAAGTCATAATGAATTGCAATTTAATATGACATGTGCGTCAGAGTGTCAACATATTTTAAAAAAAGCGTAAACTTACCTTTTCATTTGGGTCAGATATTCATAGATGCTCTTTTGTCTTTTTTTTCTTATCTGTTTTAGTTGCCCATCTGTAAAACCGCAAACATCTCGAAAAAAAATATACCTTAGATCTATTTTTATAGGTATATACAACGTCATGAGCTGTATCCATATACACCTATGAAGATAAGTTTTGGACGAATCCGAAAGTCAATTCGAATAATGGAAGTCAAACATTTTCTACAAACACCAGATCAATGTCAATAAACATCTAATTGTATGAATATTAACTCAAAATTGGTACCACTTTATCAAAAATACGTTGAAAAATATTTGCCACCGTTTGATTCACCGCACGTTGGCATACATAGTCGTCTACGAACGGCAGCTTTTCGAGAAGATCTCTTTTGCAAATGTCGTACACAACGTGTTTAAGCTGTTCGTATCAAGTAAAATAGATTTAAAAAATGACCCAAATCAGATCATTCAGTCTTGATTTGTTTCATGATGGTAATGCTTATGATTTATTTATTATATCGAGTTTTTGCCGATATGACACTATTTCTTCGTCTACCTGACTTTTCTCGCCCTGAGGAGGAATACTAAAGACAATGATAATAGATTGTGATTTGGAAGTAAACTAGTAGTAATTATTAATAGCTAAAACACATTCTTGACTTGTTTCAAATGGCAATATATGAGGTTTAGGTATAAGCCTATAAAAAGACACTACCTAGCGCACGACAGAAATAGTGTGAGATGTGGGTGGGCGATAGTTTTTGGCGTAGATGAATGTAGGTGTTGGTGTACATGAGCAAAGAATCCAAACTCACATTTATTATCACATCCCTCGCTCACATTCACAGTCACCCCATGCACGATCATAATTGCTGTTTCTTTATTGATTTTATTAAACAGTTTCGGCCGATATATTTTACATAGAAATTGAAAGGTATCGCTGATTGTAGCCTCTCGTATATGTACAATTGTTAAAGAAATAATTAATGGTGTATTGTTATTCATGAATTGCTCGAATTTGAAGTGTTTCTTATTATATTTTCAAAGCAAAAATAGAAAAAAAATGAATCATAAATTTTATAAAATTAGTTCTTTTAATTCCTTTGTAATATAATAACACAAAACTAAATGATCAAAAAGAAAATTAGTCAATTCATCTTTTAGTTTTACATACGTTACATTAAGTTTTCATTTCGCTGAAGCAGCGGTCAAATCATTATTTTCCCGAATTTCATTCACTCATTTTACAGAAATCAACTAAATATCATCGTTTTGTCTTTCGACAGACAAAAAAAGATCATTTTGAAGAACAAATAATCCGATTCTCTTTTCATCTTACTGTTTACCTTTCCTTAGTGTTCCAAAAAATAAGCCGAATGAATGCTCATGTTTAACTATATTTTAATACAATTGTTGTCTCTTTTGAATTAGACGAATAAAAATAAATGAAGTAAAGTTTAAATACGTCAACACTGATTTGTTGATAACTTTTCCTAATTTCAATTTGATTAAAACTTCTTATACTTCAATTTCAATGAGTCATGAAGTTAGTGTTTTCAATTGACGCAAGTAAACTTATTGTTTGTATATTTTCTCATGAATTTCGTATTCTTCATTTAGTAGATTTGAATTCAAATTCAATGTGATTAGTGCATCATCTTAGTTAACTAATTAAATTAGAAAATATGTATTTAATTTCGAAAGTTACAAAAAACTGAGATATTTTCGTATTCTCGAAATCTATTAGGCATTGTATCAATATCTTGTTCATTATCTTTTCCATGTTTAGTTAATACATGGGGCAACATATGTTTTTATTGATCTTTTCAGACTTTTGCTATAGTGATTGATTTTATTGTTCATTTGATCCACATTGAAGCTACACCTACCTACTATGATAGAATTGATGACAGAAAATATCATTTACTGAGAAGATGGAACTATCAGCACGCTTCTGAAAAGTAATTTATGTCTATCTCAACTATAACATTCATGAATCGTGAATAGAAAAAGATGGGCCTATATTTTGTGCTCGTCAATCACCAGACTTAATACCACTAGAAACTGAGAGCGAGTTTATAGAGCGACGATTTCAAGTATTGATTAGACAGACATCATCAGATATATGCAGAAGGTGAACGTGTAAAGAGAATGAGATAACCTTATCTTCAAGATACTGTACTTTCATTTGCTAAAAGATGGTTGAGATAGAAAACTATCAGCACATCTAAACGAGCTATTTAGGCTTATACTGACAAATGCTGACTTCTCCATGACATGTTGTTCGGTTGAGCTACCTATTCGATATTTGTAGCTTTTATTAAGCAATCAGTTCTATTCAATAGTCCTGAATAAGTTGAATCATCTGGTACTGTTGAAATGATACCATAGTTTGATCCTATACGTTTTAGACGCTGTAGAAATGTGTTCTTCATTTTTTAAAACAGTAATCAATTTTCCTCTTTCGAGTCTTTGATTGCATTTACGTCTAAAATATCATCTACCTGTCAAATCTCTTTAAAGAAATCACATCTCTTTTTTTTCCATTCGTAACAAGCAGAAAAACTGATCCTTTTTCAAGTCAGTCGTTTGACAGACGTCAGCGATACTATGTCATCATAAAAACAAAATTCATTCTGTGTTCTGCTTGTGCGTAAATCATTCCTGTCTTAGAAGAGATGTAATAAAGAAAAAATACAATCGATAGGATTGTATTGGGTTTCAGCATCCACAATATCACGACAACAACGTAAATATTTGATCAAGATAAAAAGTCAAAAGGTAAATCCAACTTGAATAAAATACCTCGTGTGAGTAGTTATATATGTTTCGAATATTTTCTTTCATGTATTAGAGAGAGAGGGTTATTCCTGCGTAGAGGATATCGCTAAATCATGTCTGCTGATACAACACTTGATGATCTTATCTCAGTGACACGCAATGACGATCTTACCAATTCTATAACCGAGTTTATCAAAAAAAATGGTGCTGAAGGCTTGAGAACTTTTACTCAAGAGCGACTTGATCAATGGAGACAATGTTCATTGAATATAGCTGTTACAGGAAATAGTGGTGTCGGTAAATCTACATTAATTAATACAATTCGCTCTCTTCGACCATATGATCCTGGTGCATCCCCTGTCAATGTTGTTGAATGTACATCCGTACCAAAAGCTTATGCACATCCAGCAAATGAAAATTTGAAAATTTGGGATTTACCAGGTTTCGATATTGATCGAAAAAAAGAAGACGTAATTTGTTTTTATTATTTGACTTTTCTAGGTGTTGGTACGAAGAAATGTCCAAAACAAACCTATGTAGCTGAGATGAATTTTCATCAATATGATTTTTTTCTCATTGTTAGTCGAGCACGTTTTACTGAAAATGATATGTGGCTTGCAAGAGAAATCAACAGGATGAATAAAGGCTTTTTCTTTATACGTACACAAATCGATATTGATATCGAGAATAGTCAAGATGAACAAGCAACATCATTCAATGAAGAAATTCTTTTGACAAAAATTAGAAATGATTGTTTAACTTATCTAGAAACACAATATAATCTCTCACCCTCACTTTATTTAATTAGTGGTAGATTAAATAACAATCAACGATGGGACTATCCTCGATTAATGACTGATTTATTGACACATTTTCCACTCTTGAAACGGCATGCTTTCATTCTTGCTATGAGTCCTATTTGCAAAGATGTTGTTCGAACTAAGATAGTTCATCTAAGAAAACGCATATGTCTTGTAGCAATAGCATCAGCTGCTGTAGCGATTATACCAGCTCCATTTGTGTCAATTGGCTTTGATTTAACAGCCTGTATACAAGAAACAAAAGTCTATCGACAGCAATTAGGTCTTACGGAAGACGCACTACGTCAGTTGAGTGAACGTCATCACATACCATTTGAACGATTTTCCGATGCAATAGATGATAGAATTCCTATTCAAGCAATGGCAAGTATTGCTCAATTCGTTATATCCGTTGCAAGATCAGTTGCCGAGTCACTCGTAAAACAAGAAGGTGCACGATATATTCCAATTGTTGGATCAGCTATTGCAAGTGCAGCATCGTTTGGTAGTACTCTATATATATTAAATAGTATCTTGAATGATATGGAACAGGCAGCATTACAAGTACAAGAGATTATTGTACAATCTAGCGCTAACTTCAACTGAATTGACTTGAAAGATATTTAACATGTTTGCAAAGTGTTTGTTTGTTTTTTTTATTTGTAGATAGAAGATGACTTTTACACGATGGTCTTCATTGAGAATGATAAAAGACGTAGAGAAAACTAACACGGAAAGTTTATCAGTCATGGAAACTGATTCATCAAAGAATCTCATTAACATATCAATTCTTAGTACCAGTTCAAATGCAGGAAAATCCATGTTGATTCGTCTTCTACATCAAACAGGATTTATTGAATCTATGAAATTCTTTTCAACGGATGAATGCACACTTGTCAACAATAAATCGGTTATTTTACGAAGAATCTCATCGAAAAAAGGTAGATAAAATTCTTTTTCCATGTAGAAAGAATTAACATCAGTTTTTTTTTTGTACATATCAATATAAAGATGCAGATGCTAAAGAATGGATTATCAAAAGTGATATTGTACTTCTTGTTGTTCGGGAATCATCAACAGCCAATGATCGTACTATAGCTTCTCTTCGACATGCATCAGAGAAAAAAACCTTATTTATTGTTCGAACTCATATTGATGAAATTGTTAATGTTACTCAACGATATTCTCAATCAACTTCCAACGAAGAACAAACAATAAAGAACGAACAAGAATTTCTTTGGTCTCAATATAAAGAATTTTTAACGTGCGAAAATGATATTTACTTAATTGGTAGTCATTTGAATCATAAGGATAAATGGGATTTTGAAAGATTAAAGAATGATTTAATGAGTAAATGCCAAATTACTGAACAAAAACAGATTGATCAGCCAATTACAGAAGCAGGTGAGTGATTCTTTTCTCTCATATATGCAGTTCAAGAAAAAAAGTTGCATTATCCATTTCTCTTGCGTAAATAATGTATCTAGGATTACTTCAAATGGTGATCTACATGTGATGTGAATGTCGCTAAAAATTTTGACTAAAAACCAAGACCTATTATTGAGTCATAAATGTCTGTTTATTCGAATAATTGATAACTAGATGTTCTTTCCTATCGACATATTTTACACATGTATGATTGAAGATTCACGCTGAAAATTTGTTGATGACATCAGTTCAAGAAACAAAAAAAAGATTTGAATTTTTTTCCACTAAAACTGACTTTATATTTAAGTTGTGATAGGTCATGCTGAAGTTCTTCATATTGGTGTATTATCAGCTAATCCAATATTACCAGTCAATTTGCAGTCACAAGATCAAATGAATGAAATATATTTCGATAAAGAAAAGAAATTATTCGTTGAATATTTCGACAAGCATGGTTTAGATGAAATCGAGCAATATTTTATTTCTCGTTTACGAGAATGGGAACTATTGTCTCTTCATATTGCTGTGACTGGAAACAGTGGGGTTGGAAAATCAAGTTTTATTAATGCAATACGAGGAGTAACACCTAATAGTCCAGATGCTGCTAAAACAGGTGTTACAGAGTGTACTCGTGAACCTCAAGCTTTTCTACATTCTATACATCAAAATTTAACATTTTGGGATTTACCAGGTACAGTAGATATTTTATAATGAAAAGAGATTAGTTTACATGTTATGACGAAGGTTGTTGATGAAACATGATTTGATAAGAAGTATTAAAGTATATAGGGAGAACTTTAGATTTCACACAAACGGCGATCGAACACATTAAATAATGTTTATACTATTCTCAATTCGTGTGCGTCTGCAGGATTTATCGTCTGCTAAGACAGGTGTTCAGTTTTTAGAAATGAGAAGATTCCAAGACAGTACATTATAGTTACTGAGACTTGAAAAAATAATTTTCATAATTGATATCTTGTTTTGATCAATAATCAGAAAAATTTCATCGATAGGTTGTGGAACACCAAATTATCCTCGTGAAAATTATCTTAAATACATTAATTTTGAACAATTTGACGTTGTAATTATTATATGTAGTGGACGTTTTACTGAAGATGATGGTTGGCTAGCTGAAGAGATGACTCAAATGAACAAACCTTTCTTTTTCCTTCGAAGTAAAATAGATCAAGAAATTACCAATGCTCAACGTGATTCTCCTTCACCATTTGACGAACATGCTGTATTAACAATAATTAAAAATGATTGTGTACAACACTTACGCCAATATTCACATCATCGCAAAGTTTATTTAGTTAGTGGCAATCAGAAATACTTACATCGATGGGATATGAATGATTTTATGCATGATCTTTGTCAAGCATGTCCACAATTGAAACGTGAATCTCTTGTCTTTTCAATGAATGCTCATTGTAGAGAAGCTGTACGAGTAAAAGTTGAATATCTTCGAAAACGACAATGGCTTATATGTAGTGCTATTGCTGCAGCTGCTATTCTACCTGTTCCTGGTTTTTCCATGAGTATTAATCTTTTAGCTTGTTTGACAGAAGCGAAAGAATATCGTCAACAGTTGGGTCTACATAATGAAGCCGTCGAACGTTTAGCTATATTGAGAGAAACTTCATCAGAATACATTCGACGGACAATCAATTCAGTTTTGCCTCTTCTGGATGATGAAACTTTTGAAACACTATTCAAAACCAAATTATTAACTCTTAATGCTGCCATCGGTCATTGTATACCTGTAGTAGGTTGTGTTCTTTCAGTACAAGCAGTGATAGAAACACTGGATTATTTTCTTAAAATGATGGAAAAAGTTGCTTTAACTGTGACTGATATTCACTTTGGTGACATTTCGTCATTACCTCCAGTGACTACGATAGAATATTCTGATCCTCAAATAATTTCATAAATATAGTGACAAGATAAATTTTGAATCTATTTATCAGTGAAAAATATATTCAATGAATGATTTTAATCAATATCTATGCTCAGTTCTTCGAGATTTAGCTCGACTATTTATGTTGCCTATGAAGTTTTTTCCATCTGAGAAACAATACTTTGCTTATTGTCCGCAGATATTAACAATTTATAGTAAGGGCGTGGATGTGGTTCTTGTCAACACATCCACACTCTGATATGCATATTCAAGGAAATGTTCAACAATGTTCACTATACAAAGATATTTCTCTCTTATGTATGTACGAGAATATGAATGAATGTGAGTAGAAAAAAAATAAGGTGCAATTTAAAAAGATTTCTCTGATTGGTGCAAGTCACAAGACGCAGTTGATTTCGAATAAAAGTCCCTCGGTATCAATTTATAACGTTTATATTATAGAAGTATTTATCATGGAACGTTTTGTTGTAGATAAAAGATTGATGAATTGAACAGTGGTGACACATTGAAAAATATATACATAAAAAGAAAATAATATTTAGAACGAATCTGATTTTTGTTCAAGACCGTCATGAATGAATCTGACAGACGAAAATGTTGCTCGCAGTATCACGATTAAGAGAGAGCCGACATTCACTGAGTGATAAAGATATAGTATGAAAAGCCCGTTCAGCCTCATTTGAATTAACTGAAATTGAAAAAAAAGGCGATAAACAAATAATGGTAAATATGAGAGTTTGTGTTGATAATGCCTCCAAAACGGTAATGGATAGGATTGTTTAGAAGTATCTTTAAGACTCATTCTCAAGTATTTATCTAATTCATCATATTTGAGCGCCATCCTTGAAAATTACCTCAGCTGCATCTATTTTCTGGAAAGGGTAAGGATGAGGATATGGATGTGACGTCAATGTGGGTGAAATGAAGAACTATACCAACACTTACACTCATCGATTGATATTCATGCAACAGCTGTTACACTTACAATTCACAATTATTCGGAATCATGATTCATGACAATGATCATGTTGGTCGGAACAAAGCTCAATTTAAGATAGAACTTGATCAATTATTTCACTGAGAAGAGAAATATTTCTCAACAGTTTATCGATCGATGCTCAATTATCAGTTGCAATGCACGATAAAAATGGCAAAGGCTTTTTCCTTTTTTTCTCGAATTGAGAATACGCAGCTAATATGCACATCTTATTTATTGAAAATGACAATCATTGAGAGAGAAAAAGTTTCGTGTAATCAGCATAACGTGTTTCAATCTCTTCACATGTTAAAGCAAAATCTGTTTGGGAATATGAATGATGGCCTTGTTTTCCTTGAGGATTTTCTGTAAGCCACTTTTGCATTGCTGTTTCAAATTTCGTCGACCAATCAAGACCAAAATAATCGTATATTCTATGAACAACAACAATAGGATTGTTCATCAAATTATCATAAGTCATATTGAAAAGAACTTTTCGTGTTGAATCAACTTTTTGCTTTTGACTTTCATGAAACTTCATAATACAATAGATCATTCGATCAGTTAATTGACAATATCGTTTTGTAATTTGATCTCGACTATTTTCATTTGTTTGTTGAAAAGTCTATTGAGCTATTATTCATGATAAGCTACAGGTCGAAGGAAGGGTTTGGTCGACATGTCGATGAGTCATGATGAAGAATGCATTAGGATAGTGACGAAGAAACGTATCGAAATGTAAACAATGCATCGGCGATTTCAATAACCAATGTGATGATGGCATATCGACCGAATTTAACATACGCAAAACGGTTTCATGATAATCACAAGCATAGTCTTTGCACATCTCATTCTGCAGCCAGGTGTCTGAATCGCTTTCGTTGTCAATACCAATGTAAGTGACGAAGGGTAAATAGCTCGTATGACGTAAAATAAGATAGTCTTCTTCAATCGGAAGAAATGGATGAGCTTCAGCCATTTGACTTTGATAGTCAGCGAAATGTTTGATTTCTTTTGTAGACGAGAGCATTGTATTTGCTCGTTGTTGTTGTTGAATAGAATCGGATATGACAATCGATGGTACCATATCAATACATATATACGTGTACAGTGGTGCCCGACAATTCGTATCACAGGCTAGTAAATTGTAGAGTAATGTTGTACTAGTTCTTGGTAAGCCACATACTACCAAACGACCCTTGATTGGTAGACTTTGACCAAGAATCGACATGTTTTCAGCTACATAGTTCAGAACTCGTTTACAGTCTGTATGCAATGTGTCGATCTCTGCTAGAGCTAAATGTCGGCTAAACTCGATGATAGATTCATCATGAAGTAGGCATTGACGATAGGAATCAAAACCACGCAAAATATCATTGTAGAAACCGAATTGGCTCTTGGCCTGTTCTCTTAGATTTGTTTTATCTTGAACATTATGTTTCGACGTTGTTCCATAATCAACAACCGTTTCATTATTGGTCACACTCATAAAAGAAAATCGTTTTCTAAACAAGAACACTTATGTAACAATGTTCTGCAGGTAATCATAGAGTAGACGTTTGACACATTGTGATATACCTCTAGTATACGATAAGATAATTTTATACGACTGAAATACTTTATCTCTTCAAATCTAGAAGCGCTCGTTTTCGAGATTCTTTGTTGTCCTATGTTAGCGTGCTTGAGTTTGTTCTATACAACACTGAATGTCTTCAAAAAAGCAATATCAGTGTCAATAAAAAACCGTGTGATACTTGAATGTACTTTTTTCATTCGAATGCGACGCTAATAAAATAAAATGAGATCGGTTTTGACAATAGTATATTCATCGTTTAATGAGACAAGGCTAATTTGTCAATAATTTTTTGTACATTCATCGTTTCAATGAAAAGTGGCATGATAACATTGAAATTACATGATATGTCGAAGCAGCATGGTTTCAAAAGAACTTCAGAATTATAGATTCATTACTAAAATTGAAAGTTCATACTTAATGTTAAATGTCAACTTAATAAGTGTGTGTAGGCATGGATGTTGGTGTCGTTATTAATTGCACCCATATTAAAGCGACACACAAACACTCGCTCAAAACTGGGAACAGATGCTCGTTAAAGACGGCTATGATGATCTCTTTTTAGTTCAGAATCGATAAGAAAACAATTTCATGTACTTAAGAAAATTGAAGAATATAATCTGAGCTAATCAATATTCTTCGTCCATAGAAACAGATACGTGTGTGGAACTTTATTAAGCGAACCCGAGCGCATTCTATCATTTCAAAACCGATTTGTAATCGACAGAAACGCATCAGGTCATTTGGAGAACAATCCAAGACATATACTTGCTTTCTGAGAATCAAAAACAGGATCGTCTTGAGTGCATTCATTAATTAGAAGAAATCATCCTTAGATATTTTTTTAGGGAATATCAAAGAAACTAGTCTCATTTAAATATAATCTTATGCTGACCGTTTCAAGAAGGTAGAAAGATGAATCATTCCAATAGTTATTGAAGGAAATCGAAAAGCATTATATTCACATGAAGGGATATTCAAAATGAAAGCATTTCATCATAGCTTGTCGATTTAGAATACATTCACAAACTATAAAGCACGTTCATCATGAACACGATAGCTTTTCATGATTTGATGCATGTATTCACTTCGATATTTCACTATAAATATTTTTCACTGAAAAATACTTACTGTTTAATCTGTTGCTTGAAATAAGCCAAATAATGAAATGGAATTTGTTTTTTTTAAATAATTACTCATGATTGATGTTTTCACTGGATTCAAAATTAAAAAGTAGGTTCTCGATTAGTGCTCGTTGACTCACAACTAACTTCCAAAATCAAATATCCATGGTTATAAACGGCTATTATGCGATGCCTGTGTATAAGATAAGCGTGTGCAGATTAAGCCTATAAGAAACATATTTCTGACACGGCGATTATAAAAATACAAAATTTAAGAAGATTAATATTTCATATGCAGGTGAAACTGGCACAAGCGTAAACCACCTTATATGGAGAAAGACGACGATTTACACGGATCCATTTTAGGCTTGTGTATCTCCGTGTCGTTTATGGAGAAACATGTTGATTCAAGGAGAGAAAAAACGATCGCTTCATACGTAATATACCATAGACGACTTTCTATTGTGAGTCTTAATTCACAATATGTTTATTTGAATTGAAGAGCTTTTGATTAATAGTTATGCAGTTGCTAATTGAGATTGTATGGTGACATGTATTATGTTAACTTTTTTGTAAATAAGTAAGTAGATATGGACAGCGGATGTACTCAGTATAGATGTGGTTAAGAGTTTACCAGTGTGTATGAGTCTTTGAGTTAGAATCCATCAGGTTGAACAATTTTTAGATCCGTACCCAGATCTGATTATGAAGCGATTTAAGGCACCGACCTACATTTAACAAAATGTCAGGTTCGGAACCGATAAGTAGACGAATCCACTGAAAATCTCAAGACTCTAATTCAGACTCATTCTTAATAAAGCTTTATGGTTCGATTCAAGGTGTAAACAGAGGATTCGTTAGTCTGTTGAGTGAACGACAAAAACTTACAGAATGTTAAACACACACGTTCATATCTCAAGAGCAAAGCAGTCGAGCCAATCTAATACAAGAAATTTTATACTTGGATCCGAGCATGGAGGCAGTTGGGTACGATTCCCATTCAAGTTTGCGACGGATCCCATGGACCCTAGTGTGAGTGAGGGCGCGAAGGTGACTATGGGCATCCGTGTGGGCATGTGAACAAGTAGTTATGGTTGTGGATGGAGATGTGCACCCTTGGGTATCGGTGGATGTCATCTTTTCATTAAAATCCACATACACACTCATAATTCTATTGTCAAATGCCTAATGGAAGCTATTTTTTCTTTAGTATCCAGTAATTTTGTACTGATAGATCATTGAACATTTGCTATGAATTGTTCTAGTGGTTTTTTTTCTTTTGAATTGAATAAATAGATTCATATCTGATTTGCTATTTTACGGATCTTTTTGAATGACTAATTTTAGTCCTTAAGAAAATCAATCATGTTCTATTTTAATATTTTAATATTTTCCTTCTTTTTTGATAAAAACATTCATATCTATTTTGCAGATATTCATCATTTTTACTACTCTCTTAATCAATCATATCAATCAGTACTTACATTTATGCTAGTAAGTTCTTCTCTTTCTAATAATTACGATTTTGCGTATTTCAATTTTAAATTATGTTCATTCTTTTTTCGATATTGTTCATCTATTGATTAGTCACACTATCGTTATTTCAGGCGATATGCTATTTACTCTTTGTTAATATCAACAATTGATAAATAAATTTTGTACTGAAATTATTTTAATTAGTGCGACATATTTTTAATCATCAATAATATCATTTTGAGCAATTTTCTCATACTAACACTTTAGACTGTTCCACTTTTGAAACCGATCTGTCATCATCAGTTTTTTTCTTCATTTATCTAAATCAATATCTCAAGTCGTCATAATAAGTTTTTTTTGTTTATTGATCATAAAATGACATAGATGTCGAAAAAAAAGGTTGTTATAGATTATCATCCTAATGATAAATAAATTCACTATATTCTTATTTATCTAAACGACTTTATCGATATTGTAAGATAATTGAATGAATGCAAGATCTTAATTTGGCATGGATACGATGACGAATCATTTTCGTTTCGTGATATTCTCTAGTCAGTTAAAAGCATGCATCACTTACGTATGTCAAGCAGTATCAAGACTTTGTCGTTAATTATTTATTCAAACATTTAAATCATGTCAACGCATTAATTTGATACTGCTGTGGGTCAGGGTGGATGTGAAGAAATGACCCGCACCCACAAATGATTCAATGGACTTTCTTTGACAGCTTACTGAACAGCAACAGTTAAAAGTGGAGCAAGAAATTCGTTCGTATAGTGGGAATAAAATTGATTTTCTGAAAATAATCATCGAAAACCGATTAAATTCAACGAAATAATCTATTAAAACAGATTTTTCTAAGGTAATAATCAATTAAAGCCGATTTTTTTGGAAAAGAATCTGTAATATCGATTAATAATGTAAATAATTTTATTTGACTTGAAGAATAATCTGGTTAAATCTATTTTATTTAGAATAATCTAAATAATCGATTTCTATTCTAATTCCACTATCTTATTTTGAAGTAATTTAATTATGTAGAAGTTTTAACTTTACTATATATGGTTGACTTCAATTCAGTAACAACCTTATAGTTTGTAAACACGAGAAATCCAAATAAGCATGGAAAATTAAAGAGTTCATATTCGAATTTGGAGAAAACCGTCTATCTTCGATATGTCCGATTAAAATTCATGAACAGATACTATACATTACACATGTAAAAAAAAAGAGTCTAAAAAGAATCTGATTATGATTGTTGTTTTTTGTAATTAAAAATCGATTAAAATGGTACTATTTTCATAAAATTTATTGACATTTTTTAATGCACGCGTTTTTTTTAGAGTCTTGTCTGACTGGGTCTAAATTTAATGAG